AGGGATCCAAAATATTTTATTTATAGAGGTTTTGTTCTGGGTGTTTATTTTGCCTTTATATTTTTATTTGAAGTGGTTCAGTTTTCAATTTAATGTATTTTTTCTGTGTTGGAGACTTAACATCAGACATCTTTTTATCACCTACTGCTTAGAAACAGAAAGCATTAAAAAAGCATTAAAAAGCTGAGTGACATTCTATTTGAGGAATAGGGAACTCAGGTTACTCTGGAACTCCATGTTACTTTCCAAAAATTGTAATACCCAGAGGGGAGTTTTAGTTTACTTTTCCCTCTACAGATTATTAACTCTATCTGCTGTTGTTTTAGAGAAAAGTTTTGAGGTAGGGTTAGGTTATATATATATTTGGGGGGTGTTAATGGGGTTTGAACTCAGGGGCATTCAACCACTGAGTCACATCCCCAGCCCTATTTTGTATTTTATTTAAAGACAGGGTCTCACTGAGTTGTTTAGCACCTCGCTTTTGCTGAGGCTGGCTTTGAACTTGCGATTCTCCTGTTTCAGTCTCCTAAATCACTGAGATTACAGGCGTGAGCCACCGCACCTGGCCCTTTATATTTTTTTGAGACAGGGTTTCCCTAACTTGTGATCCTCCTGCCTCAGCCTCTGAGCAGCTAGAATTACAGGCATGTGCTACTACACCTGGAGAAATCTTGTTTCTTAATAGCTGACCCTTTGTATTTTCATCTCTCTCATGAATTAATGCTCTCTTAGTTATTTTATTTCTTATAGAAATTTATTTAAACATTTTCTTGTCTTTTCTCTCTGCTCATGTTCTTTCCAGTCATTCTGTCCTTTCATTTTTTCTTCCTCACCTTTATGTTTCTTTTCATTTCTTATTCCTTTACTGCTCTCGTTGTACTTCTAACCTTGATAGTAGAACAAGTCAAGCTCTAAGAGCCTAGGAGAGTGAAGGTTGCTTTGAGGAGTTAGGAGCCAGGGCTCCTGTTCCAATCTCTTCCTAAGGGCTGCAGTTCACCAGCTCAGGCATCCATATTTACATTTAATGAAACCCAGCTTCCCTTTATCTCCTGCCTAGCTTCAAAGGTCTAGATAGACAAAGTTTCTTAAAAATCCAATATCTTTTTGGCTTTTTATCTAGATTTCTAGTTTTTAAAAAAGGTCATCAAGGTCCAAAATAGCTATATCTTGAAATCAGTGAGGTGTACTGACATCAAAGCTATCACTAGCTGGAAGTATTTTTAATCTTAACAATGGTGTTGCCAACATTAAACAGCTGCAAGACAAAGGATGAGGCTTTAATTTCAGCAAGAGAGTTGAAAATTAGATTATTGTGTAATACTTGGAAATATCAAGAACTTTTTTTCTGTATTGGCTCTAGTTGAAAATAAAGACTTCTCTGTCATTTCTCAGTTAGGCAGTCTTAGAATTTACAGTCACATTGCCTATCTGATTCTGGATTGGTAGTGATACCACTGATGATGAGATTCAATCACAGTCAAGTTTCATTTCTCCAGATGTTAATTTTGAATATCTGAGAAACACTGAGGCAAATGTAAAGCAATTTTTATTTATAGATTAGAACGGAAACAGACTTCTCCACAGAAATGGGGGTCCCAGATCTGGATATTCAAGGATGTGGGGATGTCTCACCCCTTTTATACTTTTTAGATCTCCTTTGTTCTCATGCCATCTTTCTCCCTTTATCTTGCTTACGTGACCAAAAGGTGGGCCAAAGATGGAGTGATTCTGGGCAGGAAGGGAACAGTCCAGGAGGTATTAATCAACAACTCCTTATAGGGAGGAACAATTCTCTGGGGGCAGTTACCTGGGCAACAGGTGAAGGAGGAGGGGGAAGGGCTTTGGAGATATCAGCCTTTGATTTCTTTTCCTTTTGAACTAGTTCCCATATCCCCTATCAGACCCAATTATTTATTATATAAACTGACTGCCTTTTGTCACCCTGGCTTTAGTAGTATTCCAGGCTGCTAAACAAGAGCTGAAATAACAAACAAAATAATTAAGTGCTAATACATTTAGCTAATGTAATAATCAAGGAATATAACCACGGATTTTTCAAATATTAACAGTGGAATTAAAGACACACAAAAGACTGAATGAGAAATTTCCTATTTTTAGGAAAGGACCAAACATAAACCTAGTGTTTGCCTCAGGTTTTAAGAATTGAGCATACAATTAGTTGTGATGGCTCATGTCTGTAATCCCCATGGTTTGGGAGGCTGAGGAAGGAGGATCACAAGTTCAAAGTCAGCCTTGGCAATCTAGTGAGGTCCTAAGCAACTTAGTGAGATCCTGTCTCTAAATAAAATATTTAAAAGGCCTGGGTTTGTGGCTCAGTGGTTAAGCACCCCTGGGTTCAGTTCCTGGTACCAAAAAAAAAAAAAAAAAAAAGAAAGAAAGAAATTGAACCTAAAGCAATAAATACCATGAGTAAGCTTTATGTTTGGGAGATAAATATCCAGTCAAGGAGGGGAGTGAAGGAAGAGCATGAAAAGAGCAGTAATAAAGCAATATGTATTGGTGCCAATTATCTAACAATAGCAGCAAAGTGTCACAACAAATGGCTTAGCAAGTGTTTTTATTCAGCACACTAAAAAGTCTGGGAAAGCCTGCAAGGGTACCTGGCACATTTGAGTAATCCAAGGGATGGAGAAAGGAAATAGGAAAAATAATAACTCATCAGAAGAAGATATGGGTAAAAGATATGAGTGAAATGACCATAAAAGAAAAAAGTACAAATATAAATTATTATATGATTGATGCTAAGTTCATAGGCAATTATGAATGTTTTCATTATATAATGGTTAACAGTGGCCTTATTATATTAGTCTTATTAATGTTGATTTACTTGATCTACTTTTCCTGACATATATTATCTACAATATATATATGAAGATGTTAGTATTAACTCAATAAATTGACAAAAATATAAAATAATACAATTTATGTCTCTCTCTCTCTCTCTCTCTATATATATATATATATATATATATATATATATATATATATATTGTTATTGAAATAACCTTGATGAGATGGATACAGACCAACATCTCTCCTCAGAGAGAGAGAGAAGAAAATGCAATCAACTTTCTAAAAGACAAAAAAAACCATTAAACTGTATTTTGATGGTTATAAGAATTACAAAATGAAGAAGCTATGCAAAAAGTTTATTTATAAATGATTGGAGCATTAGTTTCAAAATTATAGCATTTTTTTGTATATCCAAAATGATTATTAATAAAAAAATTTCCACCAGAATTGGAATCATTAAGTAGTTGGTTTTTATGCTTACATTATGTATTGTTTAGCCATTTAAATATGTGTACCTCATTTTAATCATGTCAAATATGCTTATAATATTATTTGATATGTAGTTTTCTTATAATCCATATTTTATATTATTTTCATATGGAAATTTCAAAATAAGCAAAATTTCTTATTTATTTATCATGGTTAGCTAGGGATTGTGCAAAGATTGCTCAAAAATGGTACAAAAGTGCTTACAGTGGGGATGCAGCTCCCTGGTAGAGCACTTGCCTTGATGATGAAGCCATGGGTTCTATCTCTACCTGTTATGGTTTGGATGTGAGGTGTCTTCCAAAAGCTCACATGTGAGACAATGTAAGAAGAAGGTTCAGGGGAGAAATGATTGGGTTGTGAGAGTCTTAATCCAATCAGTGAATTAATTCCCTGATAGAGATTAACTGAGTGGTAACTGAAGTGGTAGGTTGTGGAGGAAGTGGAAATTGGGCATGGCTTTCAGGTATATATTTGTATCTGGCAAGGGTAGTTTCTCTGTTTCTTCTTCTGGATCTTGATGTGAGATGAATTTTTCTGCCACACTCTCCTGCCATGATGTTCAGTTTCACTTTGAGTCACATTGGGTAGAGCCAGACTTATGGACTGAGACCTCTGAAACTGTGAGCCCTCAAATAAACTTTCTCTCCTTTAAAATTGTTCTGGTCAGATCTTTTAGTCACAGCAGCAAAAAAGCTGACTAAAATACCAGCACAGTCTAATATTCATCTGTATTACAAACACATGAACTTTATAGTTGTATAAAAAGTTACTCATAGACTTGATTACCCATTTAATATGCTTATATTTCCTAGAATGTTCCTGTGATCTTAATTCTCACAATGGGATTGGGTTTGGAAATAGTTACTATCATGTTTCCAATGAAACCAAAACCTGGCCTAAAAGTTACACTGCCTGTGTAGAACTGAATTCTCGTCTTCTGAAGATACAGACCCAAGAATTGCTGGTAGGGAAGACAATCTTACTTTTCTTTCACATTGTAACCATATTTGGTTTTGAAGTATTAGTGATGAACACTATAATTTGGCAAATTGAATGTTCTCAAGGATGCATTATATTTTATTTCAAATTTGTTTTCTCAAGGAAAAATTAGAGAAACTCTATCACTAGAATATGTAACACTGCAAGAAAACCAAACTAATCAAGTAGTACTATCTTGAGGTGGGGCCTATTAATACTATGTGAATGTGTGCAAGCTCTTGGGAGAACTTTTACCACTAATTACTGAGTTAGGAAGGAACACATGGTAATATATGAACATTTATGGATTATGAAATGTTTTTCCAATAGGATCTCTTATCAACATTTGGAATGTCGGGATGGATAGATCATAAAATGTGTGAAATTGATTGGTTCCCGTTAATGAAAAATTGTACCAAAATGAATGAAAGTCAGTAAGTATAGTGTTTGGATAAATTGGACTGTTTGAGAGTAGTGTGTGTGTGTGTGTGTGTGTGTGTGTGTGTGTGTGTATGTTTACTTATGACCTGCAACATATGGGAGATAATTGGGAAAAAGTTGCTAGCCCTTTCTAAGTAATGTCACATTTTGGAACATTGTTAACCTACTAGATTTAGAAAATTTGCGCATAGTTTTAGATAAGTTTAGAAATGTATAAACCTATCTCATGTTCTTTTATTTGTTTTTGATTCATAATTTTAATTACATAAACAGGATAGGATTAGATAGTGCTCAATATTTTTCATGAGGCTTACTGTTAGGTAAGACTTGTGAAGACTATTAATCAGTGGGGTGTTTTTTCTTTTTTTGATATATTATTATTTTATTAGTCATATGGATTCAGCTTAATATTGTATTCAAGATTTTGGCATGCATGGATTAAACCCATTTATTTCCATTTTTGAGTGTTATACTGATAGACTTTGGTACTGAGATTCTGGTAGCTTACTCAAACAATTGGAATACATTTTTTTTTAAAGCAGTAGCACATTTTATTAAAATTTAATATTATTTTTTCTTATATCAGTTTATTTGTTGTTTTATTTGCTTTTTAAAATTCTTTTAGGTTTGTAATTATTTTTGCTAAGTTTGTTGAGATAAAATTAGTATTTGTATACACCATACCTTGATTTTTTTACCCATTTAATTTATCCTATATGTTTTGATGTGTACAAGGTATACATCACATAGTACCTCATAAATATGTATACTTTTTATGTTCTTAAACCTTTTTTCTTCTGAAATAGTTAGTTTGGCATGGTGCTGCATGCCTATAATCCCAGCAACTTGGGAGCCTGAGGCAGGAGGATCCTGAGTTCAAAGCCAGCTTCAGCAATTTAGTGAGGCCCTAAGCAACTTAGCAAGACCCTGTTTCAAAATAAAGCATAAAAAGGACCGGGGATGTGGCTCAGTGGTAAAGTTCCCCTAGGATCAATCCTTGCTACCAAAAAAAAAAAAAAAAAAAACAGGGAAAGGACCTAACTGTGAAGAGCCTTGGTCTCAGGTATGTAAACATTAGTGGAGCCCAGGGGACAGAAAGAGTCTTTTGGGTCCAGAGTTGGGAATGTTCCTGAAGGAGGCAGCAGATAACTTGGACTCTCATTTGTTCCATTTGTTTATTGTCTGCTCAGCCTTTCTCAAAATATCTCCTATGGACAAGGGAAACTGCCATATTCTCAGCATGTTCCACCTTTTCCCCACTCAGAGTTCTCGGTGCAGAGCAGGTATAAGGCACAAAGAGAAGACAGCTGAAGCCTCCAGTCAATTCAGATTGGCCTGAGTTGAGGCTTTCCTGTTTGTGTGATTGGTTCTTCTGAATTTAAAGGAGACCCTCCTTTCTTTCTTTCTTTGAACGGGGGAATGAACTCAGAGGTGTTTCAACACTGAGCTACATCCGCAGTCCTTATTCTACTTTTTATTTTGAGACAGGATCTCACTAAAATTTCCCAGGCTGGCCTTGAACTTGGGATCCTCCTGCCCAGCCTTCAGAGTAGCTGATATTACAAGTCTGCATCACCATGCCCAGTGTAAAAAAGTATATATTTTTTCTTTTCTTTTTCTTTTACTTTGTTCTTTTTAGTTATACATGACTGTAGAATGGATTTTGACATATCATACAAACATGGAGTATAACTTCCCATTCTTGTGGTTGTACAACTTGATTTTTAAAAGCTGTTGTTATTTCTACAGAGTTCAATTGATGAAAAAGAAGAACAAGAATTGTGCTTATATCAGTGGAAAGTACATTTATCCTGAAAACTGTTCATCTAGGAAATTTTACATATGCGAGTTTAATATACAGCAACATCTGCTTTACTAACACAATATTATTAAATCCTAATAAAATATTTACAAAATACATTGGTTACTTGTTGACTTTATAATTTTTAAAATAAATTATGGCTGACTAATTTTATGCACTCTGAAGATTTTGGTTAAATTTTTAGCTTTTTAAATTGTACTGGGGTTGAGGAGAATTTAAACATCTTGGTATTAATTATCCTATCACAATTCATGTTGATACTAATTAATTAAGTATCAAATAGCAACTATACATTAATCAACTTTGAAAATCCAAGGGATATGATGAGAAGAAATATTTTTGTATCATTTAGTTTTTTTTTTTTTTTTTAATTTTAAGAGACAGGGTCTTTTATGTTAGTCATTCCATCCTCTTGGTCCAGTTTCCCTAGTAGCTACAACTATAGGCACATACCACTATGCCCAGCTAAACTTAAGGTTTTTGACATGAGATGGATACCTTTTGAGATTGTTCAAGAGATTTAATCAGGTACTACTGAAAGCATTGAGGACATGTATAATTGAAAAACAAGAAATAAAAAATACAATTTAAGGTTAAAGAAGTTAATATACTCAAACGACCTGAAGTGGTAAGCTATTACTATTGCTAAAAAGCAGCTACTATAAATCACTTCAAAAATTTAAAAGCAAATAGTAAATCTTACAGAGAAAATAAAACCATGAGAGAAACCAAAATAAAATGCTAGAACTAAGAGATTAGTAAATAAAATGAAAATTTTAAATATTCTATATATTTAAATAAATAGAGGCTAAATTTTTCAAATTGTAGTTTAAAGAATATAATTTACATAGAAACATAAGATGCTTGGCAATTCTCAGGAACTTAAAAAATGGAAAACCAAAACTGGGGACATCATCATCAAAGTAATAAAAATTAAAAATGAAGAAAATATATTGAATACTGTCATAGAAAAATCATATTCAATGGAATAATGATATGGGAAATTGACTTTTTAAAAAATCAGAAACAGTGGAGATGGATAGGCACTAGAACACTCTAAAGGTAAAAACAAAGTCTCAAAAACCTACCAAGCCTTCTGATTTCTGGTCCAACCTTGTTGAGAGCTGCAGCCGAAGGGGCCCCAGCAAACTTCCAGCTGATTGGCTCCTCTGTGGTGATGCTCATTGGGCTATTTCCCCCGCCCTTTCAGACCACGGAGCTGCTCATTGGGGGCCTCTTTTGGCTCCGCCCACTCGACCCAGCCAATCTGCCTCAATAGCGGGAAAATTGAAAATGACCTAAAGGTTCCAGTTGAGAGTGCTCGCCAGAAGTGCCGGTGGTGGCAGTTGAGCTCTCGGGAATTCCTGGAGAGCTTGTGTGGTGCAGCCTGTGTGCTAAAAATAAAGTTCGTTCCTGCTTGACAAGTGGGTCATGAATTGTGCCCAGCCAGACTGTGGCATTTGGTGGCCCGTACTGGGAACGAACCTGCGACCTTGGCGTTATCAGCACCAAGCTCTGATGAATCCAAATTTTAAAAGTTTAGAGTAAAAAGGGTTATTTTAAGTTTATCTTTGGGGGATATATACCCCTTCCCAATTCCCTCTTTTTTGCTTTAATAAGTACATTTTAATAGTTTGAGGAGCAAAATTGTTTAAAAGAGGTAGAAGTATAACCAGGGGCATTATCTGTTTTTAACTGTTTTGGAATGCCCACAGTGGCAAAATTTTGTAAGCAATGAGCTATAATATCTTTAGTTTTTTCTCCAGCATGAAGGGAGCCCATCAAAAATCCGGAAGAAGTATCGACTGTAACATGCAAATATTTTAATTTTCCAAATTCTGGCAAGTGTGT